GCGTCTTTACAACAGCTGCTGCCCCTTTGGGCTGGCCTCGCTTCTTCCTCTTTCCTCCATGCTTGCCCTTCTGTTCCTCCTTTCCCTCAAGACTCCTCCTCGTCTTGTACCATCATGGTGAGTATTTTTTCTATGGGCTGGTTGTGCCGTCCGAGAACATATGCTCACGTCAGCCCGATTTCCGGCGTCGGGCTATGAACAGACCAGCACACTCGTCCCGCAGGTCGATAATTGCGGCAACAAGCTCTACATGGACTTTGTATGCCCAGCAGGAATGTCCTGCTGTACTACAAAATTTGAGGCAAATCCAGATGCGAGCGGCATAGGTGTACGTGGTTGTCCTTGTTTTCGTCTCCGTCCCTGGCCCGTTCGCGGCTATACTGTGCCGTTGATACTCCTGCCCGAGCTCCCACCCACCATCATCAATTCTCGATCATACCTAGAAAACAATGCTACAAGAATTTATCTCGTTCTCACGCTAGTATCTAGATTGTGGTCGCCTTTGCCTCCAATGGAGCCATCAACATGATTATCGCGACCTTTCTCTGGTACCTCAAAAACTTTAGGAGACCCTTCAACCCCGAATTCGAAACTTGGGTGCAAAACCTAGCCGATTTTCTCGCCCAAGCGTCCTTGTTCCCAGGTATCACCTTGCTCGTCGCTGCATTCTCCCAATGGAAGACGATCACTACCTACCACCTTTGGGTCTCGGTCGTCCTCGCAGATCTTACTACATCTGGCCGCGTCGTCGTACTCCTCAACGTCTTCTTTTCAGCCCAACGAATCACCAAGATCCAAGCCTCCCTCGCCTTTCTCTTCCAAGCCCTCTTTCTCGCAAGCTTGGGCACCTTGATCTGGCGATTGAACAATTGGTCCGATAGCCCAGGACAATGTTTTGCGTTCCACAATAATGGGTTCAACACGATGCAAGATAGGAGTTTCGTTCGGTTCTGGGTCGTTTTCCAGCTTTGCATTTGGGTCTATTGGCACATTATCGCCGTCCCACTCGTCAACAAGCGCATGGTCGAAAAGATTCCCAAGACCGTGCGGTTTTGGTTCTCGTTCGTCTTTTATGTCGTGCTTGATCTGTTCTTGTGGCTCTGGCAACTCTACCTCATCGCCAGGGTATGTCGAATTACTACCGAATCAAAATTTTATCTGATTTTGGAATAGGGAATGGTTGCAAATAGGGACCGTATTATTGGAGACGAATGGGGAATGGGTTTCGG